TATGTTTTGCAACCCTGAAGGATTTCATCATTGTTAGGGTATTCAAATGTGCAGATACAAACTCAGATAGCATTAATAAACTCCATTAGCTGATATATACGAAATAGACCCCATTACAATGAAGCAGCAGCCTACCTGTCCATCCTATCACCCCAAAAAAGAAAATACAGCCGATCTATATATTTTGCACCCATGAATATATTATGCAACAGCATAAGTTAATATCATGCCTACAACACCATATGTAGCATCCAACATGAGAGGAACCATTATGTCAGACTTCATTCAAAGAATACATAAGATTAAAAATTCGTCATGTGATTAAGTTTTTATAATTTTCATAAATAAAAGTCAGTGTGTTCATTTAGTCCCAGAATATTCACTGACCTCCAACTATAGATTTGATATACTAGACACAGGACTCATTATGCAGATAACTCTCCAAACTTCCTGTTCTACTACATGTTATTTCTTATATACCTTGGGTATGTAGTGGGGAAGTGAACCACCACACAGTTCAGTAGCATCTCCATAGGGTAAAATTTCAGCGGAAACCTAAAAAAATAGGGAACAACATTTTACCAAATAATGATGCAAGAATCAAATAAGTGCATTCAGCAGAGAACATTAAGCTGTAACATACTTTCCCTCCCCTGGATATTAATGCATTAGCTTCCAGCTCTAATTCTTTCTGCTTACTTTGCAATTCATTCTGTGGAATCGTGCCTTTGTATTCTACAAATGGCCTGGTAGGAAATCATCTACGTATATTCAACATCAAGAACCAAACTTTTGAATGAAATAACTCAGCATCTCAATGACATGAACATGTGTATGTTTATTAGACAAACTAGTCCATAGAGAAGGGGAGAACAGAAAAGAATAAAGGAAAGGAAGTATGAAGACTGCAGTACTTCCAACATTGATCATGAGTTGTTGGAGAAAAATCATCAGTAGTTGCAGATAAGCAAGTGAGAAAGTTTTTCCTTAGTCACATTATATAATTGTAACAAACCACACCCATTATATCGAGAGGAAACAAAACATCAGAGGTAATTAAATGTTGAAGCTCACGTGTTCCTTGTACAACTGGAAATTAGATGATAGACAGTCCTAATGCAATTCTAATACTTATTTATAGCATACCCATCTGGAAAATGGTATCCTTTGCCAGGCTCCAGATGCCCTAGCCCAACTTTTTGCATACATACATCCAGTAAATGTCCAGCCGAGTGTAATCTGCAAACAAGGAAAAAAAATGAAACATTTTCAAACCCGCAAAACTTTATCTTTTAAACTTTTTAACTCTGCCTTCGTTCATATCTCATTCAATTCCTAGCCAATTTTCAATCCATTTTTTTATTAGTTCTTGATACTACAACATATATATTTTTCAATTTATCACCATCCAAACTTAAATTCTTTGGTATTATGAATTCAGTTACTGCCATGAAATACATTTAATGGACTTTACCTTCAAAAATTCAAGCTTTGTTACAGATAGCTTAAAATAATAAAATAAATCATGTTCTAATAATGCTGTTAACACTAACGTAAAAATTAAATGTAAAATTTGATTAAGAATTGAGTGGGGAATTAAGCTGTATGCCTGGAATTAAGGTGGCGCCCTGACTCATCAACAAACAAAAGAACTTCTTTTCCTTTCTCCATCTCAAATTCACATTCCTCATCCGCACCCTCAACAACTCCATAATGAAACACCTATTCAAGCAACCAAACAAGACCAACAAGTTAACCCCAGAGAATCATGGCGAGAACTAGAAATAAGTTACCAATAGGGGATTAATTTACAATTCCATCTTTGGGTCGAACATCTTGCACGACGAACTTGAGGTTCAAATCGGATATTGTAATGAACCCTGTGTCGGACGGTTGACCACCGCCTTGTGGGTGGAATATCGTTGACTCCAATATTAGAGCACGCCTACCATCATCACCCTAACAAGTAGACGCCATTGATATGCATATTAACATCGTGACTATAAACGAAATATGCCTGATTAAAGAGAAAATGGATTTGAATATATTGAAGGAAATCAGACCTTGAAGCAGGAGACGAGTATGGATTTGGATTGTAGTTTCCACATATCTTCATAGTAATCCAATCTTGTTGGAGCCACCTCCATTCTTGGTGTTCAATTGAGTTGCCAGAGCCAAAACTGAGTCACCTCGCCGAAAGTACCTTCCTTTCTGCGAAACAGTCGAGCTCCGCTATAACTTCTTACAGGCCAAAATCCAGGTGGACAGTGACGTGGCAGGTTGCCAATGGACTCTTCACATGCCAGGTTGGACTCAAAAATCCATAGTGATATTTCGTTTTATAAATTAAGCAACTATTAAATTAATTTAAATTTTAATAAATTTATTATATTTTTAAATAAAAGAAATGCAATAATTATTATTATTTTAATTAAAATAACCACAGTATGTTATTTCTTCTTCTCTATTATTATTTTGACCAAAATTTCTAATTATTTTTCTTCAGTTGATCAATTTATGTAAATAATTTATATATTAGTTATCATAAACTGATTAGCCAGTTATAAATTTATCATCTCTTCGATATAGAGAAATTTAAAAATAAATAAATAAATAAATAAAAATTTGCTAATTAGTATTTATAAAACATAATATAGAAATGACCCAGATGAATTAACCCATGTGGGGAAGTAGAGAACACTAACCGTCTGAGCAAAGCCAAGGACGGAGAAGAAAAAATAAATTGCTATTTATTTATTTTTAATAGCCTCCAAAGGGGTAATAACCTTTGAGTCTCCGCTCTTTTTATGGGGAGGAGTAGAAATAGTCGAGTTGGAATTACTATTTGATTCCGTTAACTTATCAAATAACAATTTAATACAATTGATAAAAATACAAAGTAATCTTAAAATAATATTAATATAATAATTGGATTCGAAAATTGGTTCGATATAATTTTTATTACATTTATAAAATATATAAATAATTAAAAAATTTATTTTAATTTAAATTTTATTAAATTTTTTAGAAAAAATGAATTAGTGACGAAATTGAAAATAATTTAAAAAAAAAATTGGTGAAATTTTGAATTAATAAGGTGTTTTTGAAATAAAACTTGAAAACATTGAGTAAAATCGCAAACAAAAATTCGATCAGGTGGAACGACCCAATCAACAGCCAGGGCGAACCAAAAGATGCCGCCTGGCAAGCACGCTGACATCGGCACCACGTAAGAGGTCATTCGAGCAATCTGCATGTCTGACAATCCGACGGTCTAGACCTCATCCCGCGTGCATGAACAGCCCAAATGCATTCCCTCTTTAGAGGCGATCGGACGGACGAAATTAATCGTGATAGACGGTCTAGATTTGTTCATGCAATCAACCTAAACAGAAAATCATCGAACGACCTTCCTCACCCCACGTCGACTCAAACGAGCGATTTGGATCGAAGAAGATATGAGTATTTAAACTCCACTTCGTAGGGAACCAAAGCCTTAGCTGACAGAGGGGTGACTGGCGAAGAAGAAGAATGGTGGCCGAGAAAAGAACTAGACGCCGGAGAAGGAGACCAACCACCGTCGCCGCCCCACTAGAGCCACTACTGATGCCAAAACATGTACTTTTTTCCCCTTTTTCGCTCGAAATTCAATCCCAAGCCTTCCTGTGACCATATCGGAGCCAAAGGATCGACGAGCCAAAAATTGCAAATAAAGCCCGGCTGAGCCGCCACGGCCAAAACTTGAAACCCTATCTAATGACCCCCTTCCCGCTCGAAATTCAATCCCGAGCCTCCCTATGACCATATCGGAACCAAAGGATCTATGGATGAGCCGAAAACTGCAGATAAAGTTCGGACGAGCCGCCACGGCCAAAACCCGAAATCCTCTCAAATGACCCCCTTCCCATTTCCCATTTTACGCGATTCTTTGATCATCATATTCACCGTTTTTTTTTCTGATGTAGGTTAGCCGAAGAGGAACTCCAACTGCGAATGAAGACCGGCAGAGCTACCGCACCCGAACACCCCCCTGCAATAGGTTTCCGTTTTTTATTTTCTTTCGACTAACTGAGGCTCCCTAACGTATTTTTTTCGCAGGGATACGTGTAAAACTGGCTAAAACCGGCCAAAATAAGCCTAAACTGAACAAAACTGGTCAGGCCGAGGTGAACCACTATCGTGGACAGCAGAGCCTGCGATGGAGCATGGCGACGCCGCCATGCCAAACCTCTAAATTTTGCCATAAAGATTTTTCAACAACAATTTTGGTATTTTAGATATTTTTGAGTACGTGACGAATATTTTAATTTTCGCATAGAAAATTTAGAAAATCCGATGACCGTCAGGAGGCATATGAGATAACATAGTGTTTCAAAACTCCGACATGGGTAAGAATCCCTCACTCTATTCCTTATTACGATAAATTGAGGCTTAATAATCGATAAATCTTGTGTTTTGTGAAAATTAAAAAATCTTAAAAATAATTATAGATTATTAGTGAAGTCGGAACCAGTCAGTTCATATTTACCCTGATTCACCGTTTATTTTTTTGTACTGCTTAAATTGCTTATTGTTATATTGTACGTATTAAATTGATAGTTTTGATTTATTTTTTCGATTTTTTGGTTTACCTTATTGCACATTCTTTTACTGGTCTGTTCTGCAATAATTGTCTCAATTATATTCTTAATGTATGTATCGTCTATTTGCATAACTTTTCATTAACTGAAAATATAAGATATTAGTATGTAACTGGTAATCGGTTCGTGGTATAATTCCATGTAAGAAAGACTTACTAGTTACCCTAGGAACGGGTGGATGGACCTAGTACGTAGAGAACCCTACTATAGACATTATTTCAGTCAGATGGGGCTGAGAAGTCTCATACCTGAAGGGTTTAGGAGATATAGTTCACCCTCATACCGAACGGGGTATCAAGGCGATAGTGTGTTTGACACCCATTACTGAATGAGGTATGGGAATGACCGGATTAATTGATAAATCTAAATATTGAGTTCATGAATAGGGGAATATCCCTATGAACCTCAAGGGGTTCCACTAAGTAGGTAAAAAGGGGAGAATTGCCGACCTTACTCACTTATACATGAAATTATAATGTTATATGAGTATTTGTCTCATAGGTTGATTTTGAAAAACTCGTAATATTTATATGAATAATGTTTTAATGTTAAATGAATTTACTTAAATTAAGGGTTCTATTAGTTGTTTTATGATTTTTATCAACGTTCGATTTCCGTATCGGTTCTTAGTGTGATATTCTTACTGAGATAATATAGATCACTCTTCTATTAACCATTTCATATTAAAATGACCAAGATCCAAAATCCGATCAGTAAGAGGGTTGTGAGTAGTTTACCTCTCAGACCCTGTTTAAGTACTAGTAGAGGTTAACCCCTTAGAATATTTATTTATAATAATTTATTTACTTTTTTTTTGAACCACTATAGAAAGGATATTTCTGTAGTATTATTGTGCATTCTAATTTACTGTATAAGAAATGTAAATCCTAACTTATTTGTTTGCTTCTGCATTTAAAATATAAATTCATTTTCTTTAAGTTTTAGGGTTTTATAGTTGGTATCAGAGTTGTATTCCTTGAAACCATTCCTTATACAGATTTAAAAACACCAAAGTACAAACTCTCGTTCAACCCTTTTTTATGAAATGCAAGTCCAAGAATATAAGGAGAGGAAGACATCCACTAAACTGAGCTGCCCATGATGGGTCACTTTGAGAGGATGTCGATCGAATCTTTGAGATATTAGAGAGACTTATCTCTGTCCAGTAGGCCTGAAAAGAAAGGAGAGAGTTGTTTGACCCTCCACTACTGCCACAGTTTAAGCCACCCTTACAGCGAAAAGATCAAATGTCACCCCGGTACAGCCTTGCTCCTCCACCATATCATCAAGCACCACTGCAGTACAATCCGGTGCCCCCATCATATAACCAAGTGCCGTCACAGGGCTACCCAGCCCTTCCCCAACACAATCTAATCCCTCTTCAATTAGAGCTGATTCCACCCATAATGGACCCAAACTACATTGAGAGGTATAAGAGACTAAACTTATCTACCTTTGCAAGAGCATCCTCTTTCGAAGAGACCAAGTATTAGTTAGCTGAGATAAAGAAAGCTTTCGCGACTCTTGAGATGACTCTTGAACAGAAGGTGATACTTACTACCTACATGCTCGTGAGAGAGGCAAGTCATTGGTGACAATTAAAGCAGGCCACCTTGCTCATTCCAGTCTCTTGGGAACAGTTCCTGATGACCTTTAATGCAGAGTACCTCCTAGAGCACTTTTGGCATTTGAAGGAAATAAAGTTTGTACACCTAGTCTATGGTGATGTGACTATGTCAGAGTATGCTCGAAGGGTCCTAGAGTTGGATCGGTATTCCTGCGAGAGTATGATGGATGAAGGTAGAAAAACATGAAAGTTCAAGTGGGGCATCCGTCTTGATATCAGACAACAGCTGTATGTGTTTAAGCTCAGTACGTACTCTGCTGTTCTGGCCAAGACACAAGTAGTAGAGAGGAACCTGCATATCTTCTCTCCAGTAGTGAGAAATTTCAGACTTTTAGTTTCACACCGCAGACCAGCACCCACTGTATCGGTTCAACAGAACAAGAGGCCTAGGTCTGTGGCTAAAGCTCTTCCTCAAGCTCTAGCAACAGGACGTGGCAGGACTTACTAGTACTGTGGCAAAAATCATAGGGACCAACCCTGCTATCATCTTAACAATACCTGCCACATATGTGGGAGTGCCCAACACTACGCGAGTGAGTGCTCGCAAAATCAAAATTAGACCAAAACTCCTATCCAGGGTAGAGCTTAAAACCTCACTCAACAAGATGCTGAAGCCAACCCATATGTGATACAGGGTACGTACACTATCTGTAATCATATTGCACATATTTTGATTGATACTGGTGATTCATATTCGTTTGTCTCATATACTTTTGTAAAAAAAGTTGAATGTATTGCCTAAGAATCTTGATTCTGTGCTATTTGTGTCTACTCATGGGGATATAAAACTACTAGGGGATGTCATATACAAAGCTTATCTTGTAGAATAACAGATAAAAAATTGAGTATAGACTTGATAGAGATAGACATAAGGAATTTTGACATAATTCTGGGAATGAACTAGTTAGCGGCGTATCACGCCATCGTAGATTATTTTCACAAGAAACTTGTATTCA